AAATGCAATAATTTAAAGTATTGAATTGATGTGAAATTGAATGTAAAGGTCTAAAACAAAGCAAAGCAGTATTTGTGGCTCTTGAGTGATGAGGCTGCAGGGCTTAGTGAGGTTTGAAGCAGGAGGTAGCTTGGATCCAGGAGGCAGCAATAGCATTATGAGAAAAGGGCTGTCGTCAGGAAGAACTGGGAGGAAGGCAGCCTTGAGCTGGCAGAAGGGTTGGCGAACCTTCAGCTGTGTGACAGGAGGGTTGTGCAACTGTTAACTGCATAATGGAAGTGAGGACCCAGCTCTCGTATGCCCAGATCTCCAGTTTAAATGAGTCTTAGGACATGAAGTCACTACAAATCATCATCATGGCTGGGCTTCACGAATGAAGATTTGAGAAGGACTCTGCCTACATTTGCTACAGGCGCGCTGGTGGCTAAAGAGGCCAACGCGAGATAGACAAGCCCGGTTGCAAACTACAAATAGAGACATACTATATAATGTTTGTATTTATTGTAGTTTGTCTTTCCCTGGCTGTGCATTTTACCTACCAACTTTTAGATTTGATTTCTGACCATTAAATTTCATTTAAGTCACTAGATATTTTTGAAGAACTAGGCTGCCCCATGTTGGTGTAAAATAACCAGCGTATTACCAAGCCTTTTGTATAAGGACATGGTTACATTATCTTTGCCACTATATGTGTTAACAAAGCATTTGATCTTCAATACTGCAACAAAATTACATTACTTTCTACCATTGATTGTTCCACCTGCACTGTTTATTCCCTTATCTGCACATGGAACAGTGTGAGGAGTAGTACCCATTTAAAAAAACAATGTGGGCAGTGTGAGCAAAATTTGTGATGGTATGATAATGATGTTTTATTGGCATTCATTAGCATTCACATACATTATGCTTTTGTAGATTTACCATTATCCATGAAGTGAAGCAACCATAATAAAACTTTTATGCCATACTGCAGTATAATGCACAGGCAGGAATATGTTTATTGGTTGAGAATATATGTCTCTTTTATAGGAGCCTGTATTCCCTTTGTTTGAAAATACTCCCTGCTTATTTAGGAAGCCCCATCTAATTGGTGTTTGTCTGACCTAAAAGTGCAGAAGTAAAAATACTTTCAAGTGCAAGTCTATTTTTCATACATAAATGTAAAAGTTATACATAATGCGTTTTTAAGTTGAAAGAAATTGATTTGCTGCAACATTAAAAATATATTAAACTCTTTGGTTTTGCTTTTATACATCCACCTACCTTTCACAGAATATCTCTTTAACCTGGACTGGAAACTCATGCCCTTGTTTTTCTTCTATATTTTGTCTTTACTCACTGTTCATCGTTGATCTCTGTGTAGTAATCAAGTGGGAGAACAGCAAATAATCTGAACTTGTTTTGTATGCTGATCTCTTGATTATTGTGATTCCAATATTGCATGCCCAAAGCATTGAATGAGGTACTTGGCATCTTTTTAAACTACTGCTGTAAAGAGTTTACATTGTGAGTGTTGCATTTATTCAATTTCAGAATTAAGTAAATTCATCATATCAAAAAGTTTTTGTCATTATGAACAATGCATGTATTGGCCAGGATTTCGAAGAAAAGTCTGACAGGAGTTTGGCTTTTTGGTGAATGTGGATGGGAAAACACATTTCTGAAAGCTTTAGGTCTGGCAACATTCCAATTTCTTTGTCAGAATGTAAGCAGGGAAACTTTAGAGTAGCCCACACAGAGTATATTATCAGAAAGGGGAAGGAGTTTAAGATGGATAGTGCTAAATATTTGAGGCTGTTTCTCCTATTGTGGAACTCTTCCTTTAAATAATCCAACAAAAGGCAGAGTCTCAGATTAGCTAGTTGTTCAGAGCTGTTCTTTCTTTATGACAAGTATAACTGCTGGTCTAGATATGTATTTATGGTTAGGTATTTTAAATTCTTTTTTCTGAAGTAAAATCTAGGATGAAGATTAACAGGTACATTTCTCATGTGCTCTGTTAGGTAGAAGGTAGAGGAATAATAATGAAACCATATGCAAGACTTCTGCTTAGAAAACATTTTCTGTTCACTCATCTTCTAACAAGTTCATTAAGTATATTTGAGCATTCCTCTTTGCTAACTATTTGGTTCTGTTTTCCCTGCTTCCTAAGTTTTCTTCCACTGACTTCCTATCTCATTGTGCTCCAACTGTAACTCCACCTTGTTCTTCAGGTATCAGGATAGGGACACCTGTGGCTAATCTTTAGCTATTAAATCCTACTACTAGTGCCTTGTAATAAGAAAGGGATGTAAATATAATGCATTTATCTTAACTGTCAGTGCATTATACCTTGCTAGTTTCCTGGAATGTTGCCTACACAGCACCTTTCTTTCTTCATTACATTGAGTATCTTAATTTGCCACCTTCAGTGTTCTCAAACCTTCATGTCTTTCAGGTAACATTTTGCCAATAACTACGTGGTGTTGCTCCTGCCTCATCTCTTAATCCACTTATTTAGCTTGTGTTATGGTATAGATACTTTTGATTTAGAACACTTACACACCTTTCATCGTAATCTTTTATAACTATGAGTGGTCCTCTGTGATGGGGTTCTTGTGTCTAAGTGAGTTTCTGAAAAACAATAATCCATGCCATTTTCTGAATTAGTACTTTATCTGTCAAATTCTAGATCATCATACAGGAGTTTACCAGAGAAAGATAAGAATATACCTGAATTCCTTTCTGTGGTATTTGCCGAGAAAAAAAAAAGTATTTTTTTTATTCCTACTGTCACTTGCCTTCCTGATAGTACGCTATTTCATTCCTAGGACATATGTGGTATAGCTCATCCAAAACTCATATAACACTGATTCATCCCTTGAGAAGTATTCAAGTTGTACTCTGCAAGATTCCTGTAGAAAACACATTTTCATGTATATTAACAGTGCCATGGATGTTAAACAAGAGTTGACCTTAGGCTATCTCCTTGTAATTCATATGTCCAAGCATTTATAACTTCGTTGCTTGTAGTGTACACGTTGTTTATGTATTTCTATATATATTTTGAAGAAAGAAAGAGTAAGTAATATCAGTTATATGCACCTGTAGTATCTCCAATCTCATTTCTGACTGAATCCTAAACCTTCACCACAACTTGAGCAGCCACTTGGTGAGTAATTCAAGAAAAACGTTTTCCCTGAAGTGCAATGCATATTGTTGCCACTTAGAACTTTTCCTTGGGTTTCTGTGTTATGTAACATTTTTCTTAATGATCTAGTTCCATGTGAGATTATAAGCATTCCATGTGAGATCATAAGCATTTTTTTTTTCTCTTTCTCATTTTTCAAAACAAAACTAAATATATTATTTTTGAAAAAAGTTTCAAATTAGTAAGATGAATTAGGGTTCTAGTAGATTATGTCTTATTACCTGGAAGTGGTAGTGTCTCAACCAGGATATTGGGAAAAGTATCTTTGCTCTAGATCCTGATGTTTTCTTTTCAGATAAGGATCTTTTTTTCCCAAGTGAGGTTTCCTTTTCTTTTCCTCGGTTAGGAAATATATAGCAACTAGGTTGTAACTGCATATATTTTAATTGAATTTGTCTTCTAAAGGAGACATATTTTATTTAAGAATGACAGTTTCTTCTTAGTATATTAGAATTGATTGGAGATTTACTTGGAGTCCCATGATAACAGTAATGTGGGTGCTTCACTTGAGAGTTCAAATCAGATGCTATTTTAATGCCATAAGACCAGGGAAGGAAAGCAACGATTAACATAAGTATTTCCAGTGTATTTTTCTTATGGACACCCTATCAGAACTAAATACTTAAATTGTTAATATATTGTTTAGTTGCATTGTTTTCTTGAGAATCAAATGCAAGTTAAAAAAAAAACATTCTGTTGACTGAGTTTTGAGTAAGAATTTCTCCATTTTACATGGCTCAGGTAAAAAGAAACAGGACAATTTAACTTGTGCCTCTGCTAGTGTCCTCCAGAGAGCATAAAGCATCATTGAATTTCCGTGGTTCATTCAGTCTTTGGCTTCCTTGATGAGATTTCTTAAAGAAAAGACAATTAGTGTGGTTTGAAAGGGTTCACCTCAGTTATGTGGGATTTTGTTTTACTTAGGCTATGAAACAACCATCAAATAATAAAAACTTTCAATTCAGTCTTGACTCAGACTAGAAGGATATTGCTAAAGTAATTTTTATTGTCGTCTTCTCTATTTCAGATGACACAAGTTCAATTTATCAGTAAAAGACATTTGTTTACCAGATTCAGCAATTCTGAAAAGAACTTTTGCTGTAAATGAGTGTTTTATGCTTCTAAAAATATGAATCCTTTTGAGAAGCTACCTGATTTGTTTCTTTCATACTCTGAATCACATAGGAAAAAATGTATATAATAAAGGAAAAGTAATCAGGTAGAAGATGTTGGAGATTATATATGTGGTATATTTTAATATTTAAAATAAAAATCTAATGTTGGTCTGGCATTAAAATTTTCTGGTTGGGCAGCATAATTTTTAACTGGGAATCTTGACAGCAGTGGCTAAAATCTCTAGACCTGGGTCAGTAGGAATCTGTATTGCATTCTGTCAAGTATCAGTCATGATACTTGCAGGCTCCCAGTTATAGCATACACTGATCATATGATTTGTAGAAGGTATAGGGTGCTTTTTCTTCAGTGAGAGTTTAAGAACTTTGTTATTCTTAATATCCAAATCAGATAAGTAACACGTATTCTTTCAAAAATGTTAGTGAATTTAGCATGCAACATGTGTGCCGGATTGGTATTATATTGAGATAAAAATGATCAACAAAGCAAGTTTAAAATGCCATGATAAAGCATCATTTATTTCAGAAGTTAAGAGTCTGTGTCTTTGTCCTCTAGAGGTGTCTCAGAGAGTCAAATTGATGTCTTGCATGTACTGCTAACTGATTGTGTGGAAATTTTTTTAAGTTCACTTTTTCTTTATTCTTCTGTCTTTTTTACCCATCTTCCCCCATTGTAGCAAATTAGACGGCCGGATGAAAGCAAAGGAGTTGCTAGTAGAGTTGGATCCCTCAAAGTAAATATGTTTCTAACATTTATTTTGCAAGTTTTCTTCTATAGCCTACACTTTTCCTTTTGAAGGGGGAGGTGAGGGGAGGGAGGGAAGGGACTTTTCCATTTCTCACCATCCCATCATTTTTATTTCAGTATTCTTATTGCTGTTGGGTCACATTTTGTTTGTTTCTGTGCTACACATAGAACAACTTACTGAAGGCAGGCTGCCAGTTAGGTAGCTTTGGATGTCACTACAAATAAGAGATAGTAACAACTTTCTTGAAGTGCCTGTAATTTGGTGATCATGATTAAACCACTTCTCTGATCTCTGTTGTTTGTTGCCTGTTACGTGGAGAAGTGGCTTACTCATCTTCAAACTACTGCTTCCCATCTTCAAACATAATTAAACTTTTATAGTGTTGACGCTTTTTGCATTTAATTCTGCAAAACACCATTACAAGATAGTTGAATATTTCATATATATGTAGCCTTTAAATTAGAAAAAAATACCAGAGTAAATAAAGGTGAAATGAGAGATTCACAAGAGCCTATGAATGGAGCCACTGTTTTGCTGATAATTAGTATCTTCTGCCTTTTGATGTTTGTATAAACATGCCCAAATATTTAGATTGCTTAACAGAACAGGCAGATATCTAAACCAGTACCCACCATGCATAGTGTTACACCCTGATAAATGGTTTGGAACCAAGATGCTGATCATATGCAGTCCAAGCCATTTTGTTTGGGTTCCTTTTCAAAAGTTGCCTCTATTTCAACTATCCAATTTTTCACTTTTCCCCACTTTATTTCCTTTTAGCACTTTCTCAAGCACTAATTTTTTTTTCTTGTGCATTCTCCTTGCCTTTTCTGCCTTCTTGTTTTTTTACCTCTGTTTTGGTTTTGGTTTTGTATATGAATGTATTGCCTTTGTTCCAGGACAAGCCATCCTCTCTGTTCTCTAACACTGTTCTACAACTGCTCTTTGTGAAAATGTTGTTTCACTGAGCACAAAGAAGGGGAGGGAAAAGATTAATTATGTACCTTTTTCCAGTAATGGCACCACTTAAATTGATCTCAACATAGAAAAAGAAGGCAGTTGTTACTTGTTTATACAGGTTCTAGCTAGAGGCATCTGTAGCATTCCTCACTGTCTGTGAGGCTTTATCTTTTCATCTTGTGATTTGGGAAGAGGTTTTAATTAACGGTGTAGATGAGAAGAGCACTGAACATGAATGAGGCACTGTTTCAGTGGCAGACATTCAGACCACCGAATTCACATAGAGGAAAATAAAAGACAGCACAGTTTTTGAAAATTCTGAAAATTGTGTATGTAACTACAGTGACCTGTGCGTCTTAAGGCTTGGGTCATCACATACAATTCTAGATTCGTAATGCATGTATATATGCAGAAGATGTAGCTTATTTATGTGGTGGGTTTCACCTATTATTTTTATGGACACCCAACGATACCTAATTTTGGATGAATATTTCTGTATCTGATTGCCTAAGATTTAATTCTATGACCCAAAATACATATTTAGACACAAAATCTTCCTTATAGAAAATGGGAAATCCTAGTTGAGGTTCCCAAACATGAAAATTTACCTCTAAAAATTATTCTTTATGGAAATAAATTCTAGACATAGCCTTACCAATAAACAAGGAAATAAATAAATACGTACATAATAAACAGTGTAGCAGAAATTCAGTAGCTTTAGAATGATAGTTCTCTTGATTTTTCAATTTTTTTTTCCTGTAGTGGGAAAGAGCCATGTTAGGCAAAGATGTCTTGCTTCCAGATTCCAAGTTTACTGAGCTTGTGTGTCCATGTTGTTCAAAGCACTTTGATGTCTTGAAATGTTTTGGCAGAGGCAGTGAGAAATGCGTTAAGCTATGATTTATTAAAAACAAAATAAAACACCAAAAAAAAGAACAAAATAAAAATGTAGAAAAAAAACCGATTATGAGAACAGGTTGCTTTTTCAATTCATTTCCTGATGTTTACATGTAGCTCCGTCGAAAGCGGAAGGAGCTCAGAGATCACCTAGAAGGCAATGTCAAAGGATGCTCTCTCCGAGTAAATGTACGATTTCACTCGGTCATCTGATTTTTTTAAAACTTCTGCTGGCTGGTAACACCAAATCTGATTGGTTTGTCCTCTCATCCCCATCTTTTTCCTTTCTCCCTCTCTTTCTTCCTTTGTGTTTTCTTTCTTTTCTGGCTGGGGCTTCATTTTAATGTGTATGAGAAACCTGACCTAATTGACAGCTTGTTTAAAAGGACATCCTACTGCATTTTAATCAATGCTAATCAAACTGCTTGGCTTTACAGAAACTAAAAAAAAAAAATCCCTTTCCAAAATCAAAGTTGCATATCTAAAACTTCCAAAATCAAAGTTGCATATTTTAAAGTTTCCTGAATATTAAACTTAGCAATAAATAAAACAGATGCCCTTAATTAAAAGGATAATTCTTCTGCCAGGGTTTGATAGTCCTACCTGAACCAAAAACTGTGGCTAATATAAGGTAACCCAAAAGCGTATAGGTTCACATGTACCTCTGTCTTTAACTTCAGTCTTTTTGGGTTAGGTTAATATTTGGCTGAATGACAGCTGTGAAAATTCTGTTGCTTGGTTTTTTTAGCAGACTAATGCATAAAATTCTGCAGCATATTTCCTATGCATTACATTTACTCCTTAATGAAAAAAAATGTGAAAAATAATTAAAATCTAGTGTATCTCATGACACCCCTATAAAGTTGCACATTTTTCACAGAAATATTTAATAAGGCAAGTTAAATCCAGCATAACACTACAGACCTCATGTTTAGTAGTTCAACTCATAAATTAAGATCAGCAGTTCTATGGAAGTGACTTTAAGCCACATAATTTTGTGTATAAGGAAAAAATGACACTTTTAGCATAGTAGATGTGAAACTTAGTAACCCTTTATCCCTTTGCACATCCATTCACTGGAGGTTCTCTGAATAATTTCTTTGGATTCATGTCCTGTTTGTCTTCCATACACTGTGATTGTTGTCATTCTCAGCACTATCATTCTAATGCATAATTCACTAAGGTTATACAGTGCAAGATAATTTTGGTAATGATAACAATTTGATAATTTTTACCCCTTTGGGTGCTTTTGCTTATCCAGCTATGTATCTGACATAAAGATGATTACTGCTTATTGTCAAATACAAGTTCTTGAGTTTATAATCTTTTGCAGGTCAAATACCAGGAAATCGAACTGCTAATATTTTGCAGTTTATTTCTATAAAATAAATTTGATTAAAGGACAGTATCTTTTTCCTGGCAAATCTTTTAAGAATCAAGCTTTGAGGGGAATATATTTCAGATTTGGTGGTAACTCAAATTTATTAGTCACAATCAAGATAAAGCAAGTTCCTTTATTTTAAACTACTCATTCTTAAATTTGTGATTTAATGCTTAAGAATAAATATAAAGCCAGGAAAAAAAGTTATGCTGTGAAATCTTGTACTACAAAAAAGATGTTATAATCACACATTATGTCACAGATTGTCACATGGGGAAAGATTTCAAATTAAAAGCTGTGACTACATTAGCCGTGACAACGACTACATGAGTTGTCATGAAATTGTCCTGTTCCTCTGTGGCAATTTATCTGTTATTTCCTGACCATATCCTACGTGATCTAAGTCAGTCAGTCAGTAAAGAATGTAAGTAATTAAACAAAGAAATGTTCCACATATTCTGCATACGCCTTTAAGTTTCTTAAAACAAGCAGGGCACATTGCTAAAATTTACTGCTTTGTCACTGCTGCTCTGACTCATGCAGTAATAATGGATATTTTAGACAGGACAGCATTTTAAAAAACAATATACAAATGACTGATCGAAGAAAAGAAATATTGGACAATTCTCAATAGGGGAGAATTGGAGAAAAAAAAAATGAGGAATCTGTTAATAATACATTGTTAAAATAATTTTCATCTTTTCCATATGCTTTTGGAAAGGGTTTTAGATGTAAGCTGCTGATACTCCTACAACATGGCAAAACTATTGAATGGTATGGGAGGGGAAGCATGTAGTATCTGATGGCCAGCTCCATAAGTGAAAATGAAATGCTATTGCACAGTTGTGTATTGCAAAATACCATTAAGGTGGAACCTTTGTTCCAGAATGAATTGCAAAGACTTGCTTTCTGGATTAAATTCAAAGGCTATTGGAAATATGTAGGAAACACTGGAATTCTGCAGAATATCCCCAATGCCACCAAAAGTTTAGAAAGCCTGCTAGATATTTGAAATAAAATTGCACTGAAAACATACATGAAAATTTGAGTTAATTAAGCAATTTTGGAGGTTGAGTAGTTTTTGGTTTTAATATGTTTTAATATCAGCAGTAACACATAACCATTTACAAAAAGTTAATCCTGACCTAAGATTTGATTTTGCATTTCTTCTTGAGAAATTCATTCATCTTGAAGTTATTTTCATTACTTAATACTCTGGCCCCTCCCAGAGACCGGTTTGACACTGAATTGTTGAGAAAAAATAGTGTTCTGTCACTTGGATAGGTTAGCATTCCCCCACTGTTCAAATTAATGTAGCAAGTGTATTTGCTACTGACATGATCAACAGTGAAAGAGTTGACTGGTTTATATTTTAGAACTCATAATACCTGCTAAAACCAATACCCTTATGAAAGTGTGGAATTACTGTGAAATTCAGCAGAACAATAATGCTTCGGTCTGTGCTTTGGACATTTTTTTGGGGGTTGGTTTTTTTTTGTAATTGTGCAGGCTAAGAATTTCAAATGCAAGTTTAATTTCTGCAGAAAAATATTATGGAAAACCCATCAGAAAAAAATTTGAATCTACGTATAGAAGTTCTACACAGAGTTTCCAAGTGATATGCCAAACCATTTTTTGTGGCTTTTAACCAGTATGGTTCCAAGTCAAAGATTCTGGATTTGTTCAGGAAAAACATTCTCAGAATTCATAGCAGAGGCCAAATATTGTCAATAGATTATGTTAAATGGAACCGGGATAATAATTTCTCATACAGACCTGTGTCTCTCAGAGTCTACAGTCTCCTGCATGCATTTTCTGTCTGACTTTAAGTACCTACCTTCTTTGGCCATGATGAAGGATTACATTTACATGATTTTTGTTCTTGATCCTAATATTCCATTATTAAAGATCTGAGTCAAGCCAATAAAGCCTTCCAGCTGACAACAAATTGCTCTTGCAGCATTTGAACCAGGTTCTCAGTTGATGTAAATAGCTCTTCTTAAATCATTCTCACGGTGGGGAATTTCTTTGACTGATAATTTGACCCTTAAATTGAATGTTCATAGGGGGGAAAGAGCACGTTAGCACATTAGCTTCACCTAACATTATATGTAGGGGTTGTCCAGTAGCATGCAAAATAAGGAGAGCTGCCCCCTCTGTCAAACTGGAAGAAACAATCACTTAAGTTCATATATGATAACAAATTTTAAGTAGAGTTGGTGATAGATTGCAGAAACATCCAAGGAGCTTGGAAAAGGACTGACATTTAATTTTAATAGCACAGAAGCTTACAAAATCCTGGAATTGGGCAGATGCTAAAAATGGAAACTAGTTAGCAAGAAAGCAACATATAGAAATGATCAGGAAATTTTAAGTGTGCAGCAGATTAAACAGTCACATTGTGTGATCCAGTTGAAGATAAAACACACAACAATCCCCATGACAGGAGTGTGCTGTGAGCATAATCCTTTCCTCAAGAACATTAGGTCATTTTGAGACTAGAACACTTCAGTATATCTTTAATTTAATCATTATGAGAAAATTAAATAAGTACATTGAGAGACTATACATAAAAAAAATTAATTTTGAAGTAAGATTAGGAGATTAAGGAAAATTGTGTGTGTGTGTGTTTTAGCATAGGAAGAAATAAAATATACTGGTATCTTGCTGAAGGGAATATTATCATTGCTTCTATAGAATTAGAACTATGAAAAAGAAATATAAAATTACTTGCAGTTATTAAATTCTAATTGGAATAAAAATGAAGTTAAATGGTTTCATTATTAATGAAAATATGGATAATTAGATTACAGGATACTTTGACAAGGAAAGTAATAGTATTCTACTTGTAGTAGTTGTCTAAGAGAAGATTAAAGTACACAAGTGTCTACCATACCCCTTGTGAATTGGTGGGAGGAGTAGGTAGAGTGAGATCTTTATGGAGTATGGTTCCAAACTTCCTCACCATTGTTGTTTTTGTTAATCTGGTTGCTCAGACTTTAAAAACTGATGCTGTGATGCTTCTTGCTATTACTGCATACTTTGGATTCTCACCTGCAAAGCCCAAGCTAATGGCTGGACATTATGAGAATCTTAATTAGAAACTCATCCAAAAGTCTTGGGTGAATAGCCGCACCCCTGTTTTGAGCAAAAGCACACCTGTCTTTCTTAGAAAGATTTCAAAAGCAATGTTTCTAGGAACAGTTTTTGCTCTGTCAGAAGAGGATCTCTCTTTTTTCTTTTTTTCTTTAATTATAAAATAAAATGTTTAAGAATAATAATTGATTTCTTAAAACTGTGGGATTTGCTCTTGCTATTTGTCTGAAGGAATTTTCTGGTTTTGTCTTAATCCTTCTGCAAATCATCTCAACATAAAAAAACATTTCATCAGTTGAAGAACGTGCTGAGGATGTGAATATTTAAGATGATGTGAAGTGATTCAAATTTTCTTGGTAGTGTTATCTGGAAGAGCAAATGAAATACACAATGCAAGAAAGGAACAAAAATATTTTCAGAGTATTAAAAACTTTTCAAGGAGGAAAAATCAATTGTATAGAAACATATAATGGAGACATAATTTAACACAGACCAATGTGACTGTAGAAGTGATATTTTATATTTCAATGAAAAAATATGGAATACATATTTGAGACTGAAGAATACTCTTCAAAGACTTCTTAGGAATACCATGTTCTCTACTCAGTCCATTATATACCTAAGTCAGCAAGTGGTCACTAATAACTTATGTGGAAATTCTTGCTGTATTCATCTTTACCACAAATATATCTAAACTGCTGTACAGTTTTTTAAGTCTGAGGAAGTTTTGCTAAGGCTTCTCATAATTAATATTTCCCCCCTAGAAAAAAAATCAAGAGGAGATTTTTAGTGCATTTATAAGAACCATGTCTTTTTAATTTTCACTTATTAGGCTGCTTTTACTCATTCTTCACAGACAGTGAAACATGAAATATTCTCACTCAAAGAAAGGATTTTCCTATAAAGTACTGGAGAGTCCTTTTTTAATACTTGATTTATGTCTGCGTGATTAATAGTTTAGAGTATTGGCTATCCCATATAAACAAAATGTGTCTTAAGCAATCAGTAAAACTAGTGTTACCAATTAACTGCAAGCTTCTGACAGTGGACAGAGTCCCTCGAGAATCACAGACTTTATGTTGCGCAGAGGCATAATCTGCAGTTTTCTACCAACCTATATTTGTCCACTAGTCATTGACCTTTGCAAGTTTTTCTGGTTTTTGGGGCAGTGAGATTGAAGAAGAACCTCCACTGTTAAAATGCTGGTTCTGAGTATGTCAACTCATAAAGATATACAGGCTATAATGGATTTTCACATTATAACCTTTGCAGAGTTAGAATAAAACTAATAGTTTTAAATGAAAGAGATTAGTAAAGTTTCATCCTGGAATACCTTGTTGTCCTAAGGATAGTGTTGTCAGTTATTTAGAGGAGGAAGGCTTGATAGTTGTCTTCAGATTCATCGTTAGTTTTAATTATTTTTCAAATACAACACTTTTTTTTTTCTTTCAAGAAGCTTCCACCTTAAAAGGCATAAATTTGGAGTCTATGAAACAGCTGGTCATGGAAACTTTATGAACCCCCTGTTACTATCTCAGTGCTGGAACCACCTATACAGAAAACTTTCTGAGACCCTTACTGTGCCACCATTTCTTTTTTAACAATGTTTTCTTTTCCCCACTGCACAACCAGGCTCGACTCCCTTCGTGCTCATCCACCTATAGTGTTTCTGAGGTATACTTTGCACGTGTTCTCTCACACAGTCGACCTGCTCACCCATCACACTTTTTTGATTTCATTTACTTTTATTCTTTTTTTTTTTTGCATTGCACTGTGCACAAGTGGGGAAAAATCAGCTTGGGGGGCAGATTTTGCATGATCAATCTGCAACCATGTTCAGCGTGGTTTTAAAATCACTGTACCAGTCTGGGGCCACCATGATGTATAGTCTAGCTAGGCATCTGCTACATAGCACATGAGCTGAAACTATATGATAAAGCATACTTAGTTATCTCTTACATTAAAATAAAAATAAGAAAATGCCAAATGCTGCACCAGTTAGTCTGACCTCTTTTCAGATAGTGAAGCTGGAAAGGCTCTGTAAAGATGACCATCAAGTTATAATTACCTGTCTAGATATAGGTATGTTCATTATAGTTGAAGTTCATTATTAATTCACAAAGCTCTGGCTTGGGTCACGGCCTGCCAAAATGCATAAACCATTTTAAATACTTCTGTATCAGCTTCATGATCATCTTCTACAATGAGGTATGGTACCATCTTAACAGGACTTGAAAATAAATACTTTCAACTGTAATTAGAATGGGGGGAAAAAGAAGTATGTTAAGATAAACTAGAATTCACAATATCATGGGATAGAAACAGAGTTTATAAAACACTGTCAAATTAACACCATTACCTGCTATGTAAAGATTAGGCTTCAGCATATTATTATAATTGATAAATGGAAGAGTATAAAAAAGATGGATTTGAGGTTTTCTGCTATACTGAGTCAGTCTTGAGCAGATATAGTTATTTATTCTGTATTTTAAAATAATCCCTTAAAGTTGGCAAGATCTTATAAAAAGTCAACAGTTCGCTCTATCTCACACTGTGGGCCAAGTTCTAGACCTGATCTGAATTCATGAAAATTATACAAAATGCAAGCATAAAGAGCTCACCTACTCGATCAGTTTGTCCCTAAACAGAAAGATCTGTGTGTAACCAGTACCTTGCTGATGTGTAATTTGTTCTCAAAATCTTCAGCTTCTCAAGCAATCATTTCTAGCACTTCCTTATCCTTAGTAATAGAAGGTTTTTTCCTAGTTTCAGTATATGAATAGGCAAAAGATATAATAGAACAGTTCTTAAGAAGAAAGATGCTTACCAGTTTTTCTGTAATGGATCAATAGTTATTGTCTGGCTGCGCCAGAAGACAAGTAATTCTAAAAATAATCAAGTATTTGTTCTTAAAAGTACCTGATACGTATTCTGCAGTTATTGTAACTCATTACTGTATCGTATGAAAGCCTCGTTGTTTTTATCATTATCATCAAAACACCAATACAGAATAAATAAATTATACTATATTCATGTGCATACAAAGACACTTTTTTCTGAGCTAATACAGGGGCAGGAAATTAAGTTTAGTGCTTACAGATGCAAGACAGAAGCCATCCTCACTCCGTTCTTCGGAATATCTGTATGAAATTAAGAAAAAGCAGTGGATCACCATCAGCAAAAATGGTGAACATGCTCTTAGAGATTATGAATCAATAAGTCACTTACAGGGAAACTGGACTCTTCATGCTTTACCTGCAACTTCAGTCATTTGTCCTTCCCTCCACTTTATGGAGGGATCACTGTCTTTGAAAGAAATACCTACCAAGGTATTGCAGCTGGTGACTAGTCAACATGTATGGGTCTCCTGCTTGATCAGATTCCAAAAACTTTTTTGCCTTCTCCGAAGCTATCACTTATTTGCAATTTGTAGAAAAGACTCTGCTAGCTGAAGTATCAAGATGCCACTGCAAGACTGTGAAAGCAATTCATCCTTTATACTCTGTCCAAGGGCAAGGTCTTCCTATCTAAAATGCAGGCATCTTCTGATGCAGTTTCTAGCTAATCAGAAATCAGAACTTCATGCTCATGGAACACACAGTGCAATACCTAAACAGTCCTGTTTTAAACTGCAAACTGAAGGTGTAAAAAAAATACAGATACATTATTCTCTGGTGGCAGGGTAGCACCCTGTGTATTTTTGAATAGACCATTCGAGCCAGTGACAGATCCAAAGGAACAAATAAATTGAAATTTAAGGTCTCTGTAGTTGTAGCTATTTGAAGAGGCAGGAAGGGATTGGAGGTTCTCTGGTGTCTGTAAAGGATTTGTAGTCTCACTTCTATCTTTGTGAGAGACTCTTCATTTGGAAATACAACTTAATGTCAGGATCCGTATCAAGCAATGTTCAATGTCATCTGCTATTATTTTGGAAAATGGGAAAGGTTGCTATGAGTAAACAACATCTTGGCCTCTAAATGACGTGATAGAAAATCTCCCAAACTGAAGTATTGTTAAATCAAGTCCGAAAGCCTGCCAGCAGTTTTGATCAGGGGAAGAAAATGAGTAATATTGTATTGTATAATGTCTCATATGTAGGAGGGAAAAAAGGACCACATTTTTTATAGGATCTCAAGGTTGTTTCTTATGTCCACACCTATTTCTGTGGTTCTTATTCCAAGAAAATATTTTTCTTAAGCTAATTCTTAAAGCACTAGGTTTGGAGGTTCTTACTTTTCTTTGTCCAAGTCATCACCAAATAGCTTTGGACCTTCAGATGATATCAGGAACACAATGACAAGAGAAATGGAATCAGTGCTGTGGGAATTCAGCTGAATGTGCCTTCTGACAAAGGTACAACGAAAGATAAAAGGGAGAACCTCATATAAATGGTTTCTGAATTCTGTTTTTAGGAAATAGATGTATTAGATTCATCATAAAAAATTTCCTCGCAATTTTCATTGTTAAGAAAAGCTCTGGAATTGGATTGATTGGCACTGGTACAGCTCAGGTTGCCAAAAAGGAAAGTGAGTGTACTATCGAGGATTTGCTGTCACATAGGAGGTCTTTGATTAAAGAATATCTTCCAGCAGAAGAGAAACGGTACCTGCATATTCTGCATTGTGAAGAATTTAAGGCAGATTTTGCTGCCTATGTTTTTTCATAGAAAATGTTCTTGTAGAGGCTATTTTGCATCTCAGTCCAAAACTAGAAAAAGCTTTTCACCTGTTCCTTTTTATTGTCACCAGTTGCATGGATGAAACTGTAGATGTGGTCAACTGATGCCTATTTGAGAGGAATGGGCAGAAAGATTTTAGAAACTTATGCTTGCTTTTAGGTACAGAAAGGTTTTCCTAGTTTGTTGAGCTCCAGGCATTATAGGATAGTAGTATTATATACCTATTTATCTCCAGTCAGCACCTTAGCAATTCCACTTGTCTAGAATCAGATGTTGTCTTTGGTTCAATTCAGTGAAATTGGAGTGAGTTTCTTTAAGTAGTGATTTCCTTGTGACAAGAGAAGTAAAGCTTTAATACTCTAAAATGCTATAATGATAAAATATATGTTCATATTATCTTTAAATTTCACGGCATGCAATAAAGGTTTTCACCCTTGATGAAAACCAGTTAGCTTAATGCCTGTAATTTTTGTGAATGTTAGCAGGGCTGCTTAAATGATTGTCTAAGACTAAAATTATTAATTAGAACTAATAATGACTTAGCAGTTGTGAAGTATAGTATATGTATAATTTATCTGTAATTTACTTATTAACCAGTTGTCACAAAACATAGTAATTTATTTTTAATTAGCAGTAGTTCACTTAAGAAATTATTCCATCAAATTGGCTTCACTTACATTTTTAGAAGTACTCTGACATCAGCTTGTATCTTAAAAATGTCACACACAATGTAAATTGAATAGATTGTCCAATGAAGGTCCGTAGTGTCCTAATGTATAAAATTACACTTAGGTAGTGTTATGCAATGGCCCCATTTTTTATTCTCATTTGTGTCTCAAACTTTCTGTTCCCACCATCAGTTTCTTTCCCCCCTGTCTCCCTCTCTCTCCCTGTCCTCTGGCTTTTGCATGCGCTTTGTGTTTGGCTAAAAGCGTAATGAAGGAAACCTGTTGATCTGCTTGTTGGAAGGACAGTGGCAACAAAATGTTTACTGCAGTGCTATTCCTACTTTCTAAACAAATTAAGTTTTTCAAAGAGGAAGACACTCAGGTCTGTAGCTTGTCACATGTTTTATTTAGCCTCATTGAGTGGTTAGAACATGATACCTTTTATTGTGAAAGATCTGCAAAATATTACTTTTCTCTCCCACAAAATATAATTATTTCCATAAAAATAGTTTTAGAGTATATATTGGCTGCATACTTATCGATTTGGTTGTATACTTAGCATTGTTAATAAAACAACAGAGACCTGTATTGTCTTACCTAATTATACAGGGTAACCAGTACAGGGAATTAAGTAGCAGTATTCAGAAAACAAGAGTCAATACTGTTTCCTGCAGCAGGTAGTTGACTTCAGAAGACCATTCAGAGACCACATGAAGATTTTTAAGTGCTCTAGGTTAAACTATTTTATATAGTATACCTTACAAAATGTTAATAAGAAGTTGAATGATAAAATCACAACTATTTTCCAGATAATGTAATATACATTTCTATATTCTAAACCCCAAGTAATTAAGAAATAATTTCCATCCTTCCCCATTTGGAACTTTAAAGTTCCTTACTTTTTGTTTCAAGACAAATCTTTATGTTTCAGTTTTTAATAAATTCTTCCCCTTGCTTCTTGTACCACAAAATAGGGAGACATTTCACCCTGCTAGAGATGTGCAGTTCTTTATGAAACAAATTAGATCAAGCTAGAGAGCTATGAATGTCATTTTCCTTTTGACTGATTATAGCTTAGACTCCTTCGCATTTTCCAAAGTCAGTCTTGTCATTATTTCACTAAAGACACATCCATTTAAGCAGAGGAGTTTTTTCCATTTTCTTGTGCTGTACCATTTTTTTGACTGTATGGCAATAAAATTGACTTGATTAGATATAACTGTGAGATTTCTTTTCTAGACAACCACTGTTTTCTTTTAAAATCCAGTATTAAGCTGTTCACCAGTATATAGTGTTTAGAATTTACTTGTTTACTACTTAAATCAGCT